CTGGATGGCCAAGTATTTACAGTAGTCTATGAAGACTATGCCTAAGTTGTCTTTCTGTTGTGCTAGAACTAGACCTCAAGTGAATCTCTGGCGGTTTGGGGCAAAGCCTGGCAACAAGTCCAAGTCCTAAGCTATCGCAACATGGAGCACAGCATGAATAGCCCAAATGTTCTGGACACAGGACACAGGTGCAGGGCGTTATGTACACAGCTCCCAGAACAGCGCTTGAAGGCTACAGTATTGGAGCAATGAGCAAAGCATTCGATTCAATACAGGCCATGTTGGAACCATAAATAGTCCACAGCGCCGCAAAGCATTGCAAATGGACAGAGTTTCTCGAACTAGCGATCTCAGAACGGTTCAAGAAGCCCTCTGGCAGCTGCCCTCAGCAAAGAACACACCAGGAGGGATCTCAGATTCCTCAACCCTCCGTTCACTCTGTTTCTGGTGCGTCCGCTCAACTCCCGTCAGCCATCTCCATTCTGCGAAAGCGGCAGTTGAACCCGGTCTCGTGGCAGTTGAACCCTCTGGTAGCAGCTGTTGTCAGCGGCAGTGTACAGCCCTACAGTAACATGGTTTTTTCTCTGGCACGTCCGGGACCTTAGCAAGAACATGTAAAAGCCAAGGCCAGTAACCTCTGGCCTCAAAGATCCTTGGCACCTGTCAAGCTGTCCCAGTGACTCTCCCAGAAGTCTTGTGACCACTTTCCTCACAGGTTTCAACTGTCCGAGCCGAACAAAGGCTAGTTCATTCTGCGACTTTGCAAACCACATCAATCGAAGTTCAAGGGGCAGTCAGGAGTGAGAACAGTCCAAGATGGAGCTTGGAAGCTCAACGACGCAATTTAGAGCAAGAAACTACTAGGAACAAGGGCACCGAGCTGTGGCGCCCAACGGAGCCTTGGGAAACAGTTGGATCGTCCCGTCAACCGATGAGCGTCATTTCGCAGCGAAAACCTGGGTGGTGTTCGCTGAGGTTGTTTGGATTTCAATGTTGAAGCAATCGATTAGGGATGACCAGACCTAGCCGCTCCGACCAGACCTACTTCCTGAAATCTTCCTACTAGACTAGACCTTGCTTGGATGCTTGGACCAGAAGACATCTTCCAACTCGCCGGGGCCCACCAGCTGTATCGCCAGAAGAAAGCCCACGGCCAGACCGCAGTGAAGCATGTTCTCCCGGTAGATAGCCACCTGAAAAGATAAGCATGACGCCAGCTGATGGCGAAGTGGATGGGGAAATGCAAAAGAAAATGCAGACATGAATGAACAGCAAAAACAGAATTGGACTGTTGATGACTGTTGATTGCAGGGAAATCTATGAAACTCTCCTGGTTTCCATGTAGTGTTTGGCAGTACTGTTCTCATATGGGGGTTGTTCAAAAGTCCTTTCATTTTTTCCAGGCCTTTCGCAGGACCTTCGCGAAGCTTTCGCAAGCTTTCGCGCGTGGGGTTTTACCACTGTCGGCGAAAATGGTTTTTCGTTGGGGCTAGAGGCTGTCAAGGGTTCATGCGGTTGCCCTGGCACGTCTTGCGTCCTCGGATCACTGACACATTGATTGCCGAGGAACAGGAAGCCAGCCAACCAAGCCACTTTCATTTTGGTGTGTTTTTGGTTGGGCGCAACCCTCCATGAACAAGAGACGGCTCAGGCCAGTTTGCTTAGACTTCCAATTTGCTTTTTCCCGGGCCGGG